GGATTCCTGAGTACTCATTACATAAAATTAAACTGCAGTTGTTACACGGAATTAACTATGTAGCTTGTAAACCTGAACCAATAGACAAGTACTGTATCTCCCATCTATATTGCTTTGCTACACTTCGTTTTTGAGCTTGAAAGAACTACTTTGAAAACCTATGTATTTTTAAAATCCTATCAATATTTCATAATGTGCAGGTGCTGAAGCAAAAGACTAAATAATGTTTGAAGTATTTTAGTAATTCTTATTAGTCTCAACATTTAAGCACAACCACAAAGCTAGCTTTGAGATCACATTGCACTGAATTATGAACTACTCTACCAAACTATAAGCCAAAATTGTAATAAAAATAAACTAAATCAAATAAAATAAAATAAACTAAAAATAGGACCACTGTTGCAGTCCTATTTTATAAGCAATTAGGAAAAATAAAAGGACCTTGGTTTTTCAGCTCTGCAACCTGTGTTGCAATCTAAGCCTTCATTTTAAAGTCAAAATATATCATTCTGGTGCTGAGAACATGCCGTCTTGAGGTAGGTCAGCAGTCATCTGCAAATTAGGTAAAAATAGAGAAGGCAGACATAAAAATAAAGTTGTTTATATGCTTGTTAATCCTTTGCTGTATTGTTATGATTTTCTTTAGAGTTTTTCTAGTTTTGATTTGATTTCTGGGTATATTTAAAATTTTTTTCTCAGTATGTAAAAATACAAATGAGTCCAAAAAATAAGGAGAGAATTCAGGAACAGAATGGTATTCAGGGATTTCATTAAATTTGAAAGTGAGACACATCCTTGGCATGAAAGTTTTTTAAAATCAGAATTTATACCTACTTTGGCTTAGTGACAATAATTGGGTAAACTATACATCTCTGTTCTTCACTTTCTCTAGTTATACTCTGCTCCACTTTTTAAAAAGGTTCCAGTCTTATCTCATTGTTCTGTAATCTTCTCAGCTGGAGATAACTACTGTTAACATTTTGCTGTATATCTTTTCAATCTTTTTTTCTGAATAGGACCCATTTTAAAATGAATTGCTTTGTTTGAAATTTATATAAAGTCTAAACTCAGGTTAATTTTTGAAAACTTTTTTATTTTCAAATTATACTTACCATCAAAATTTGGAAATGCTAATACTTTTACAAAATTTAAACTTAGAGTGTATTAACAAATATGCTTTAATCCCCAAAGAATTGTTACCTGCATTTGGGAGTAGAATGAATCCCCCAAGAACACACCCAAAATCCAAACAACATAATTAAAAATTGGTATGAGTAAAGACAAGATTATTATGGTTTTTTTTTTTTTTTTCCCCTTTTTGTCTTTTTTACTGACTGGTAATGGGATCGCAACCCTCGGTGTCGCGCCTGCACTGGGGACCGGCAACGGGATCACAACCCTCGGTGTTGTGCCCACACCGCGCTCAGCCAGTGAGCGGGAACCGGTCTCCACATGGGATCCGAACCCTCAGTGGGAGCGCCACCGCACTCCCAAGCGGCGCACTCTCCAGTGCGCCACCGGGCCGGCCCGAGATTATTATGTTTTATTTAAGCATACCATCTCTTACTTTTTGGGTGTTAAATATAGACATGCCTCGTTTTGATTGCTACTTATTGTCTATTGACAGAGACCCTGAAATTAATTTCCTAATGCAAGGTTGGAAGAATGAAAAAGTAATGTATTTGAAATGAACAAAACTAATTTGTCCATTGGAACTGTAGAACGAACAAAATTCATGAATAACTGACCATAATTCCACCTATGGAAAAATCTGTGGCTATTTATCCCTTATATGATGGGTCTTTGAAAAGTTCATGGGAAGATTCATATTATCTTTTAATTCCATTTTTCCATGAACTCTTTGAAGTACTCTCATACATCTAAGCATTTTCCTCAAGAACACCAATTAGAACATCAGTAAGACTCAACGACACATGTCCCATGGGCTCTCCATATAATGCCTCCAGTCATTATTCCTATTTACATCGTTTCCTGATCAACAGAAAAGAAATCAGAGAGATCCACTATCTTCACTTAGATTAGGGTGAGGTTGTCTTTGCTGCTGCAGTGAGTGATGGAGCGCCTGGTCAATTCAAAGCTCACAACTGTTATTTTAAAAGCATCACAAGCCACATTGTTTCTCTGAGGCTCACATGGGGGCCAGAAGCCCCACAGAACGAGTGCTATGGAATCACTTTGATTTAGAGTCTCCCTCTTTAGAACTGTCATTGGGATAACCCTTAGCTGGGGAGGGCTAATGAGTGAAATGAAAACAAAGGATCAGAATACCAGCGGATAGTGTGGTGAAGGCAGAATGAGGATTGGTTTTTTTTTTTTTCCTTTTTGTCTTTTTTTACTGACCGGTAACGGGATCGCAACCCTCGGTGTCGCGCCCGCACC